TTGTCACTCCTTAGTAAGACCTTCTCGCCTTCAACGCTTAGTATCTCACTCAACAATTCTTTAAGCCATATAGCTTGTTTCGCGGCTTCCGTAGCTGCCATGAATTCCGCTTCCCATGAGGACAATGCGACCTTAGGTTGCTTTTGCGATGTCCAAGTAATCGGTGATGAACCAAAGTAGAAAACGTGTCCCGAGGTGCTTCTTCCGTCGTCAACATCAACATTGTGACTACTATCACTATATCTGGTGATCCTCCTTGACCCGTCTCTCTTGAAAAACAAACCAAAGTTTGTTGTTCCTCTTACATACCTTAATATATGCTTGACCGCAAGCCCATGAGAATTTCTTGGACTTTGCATATACCGACTTAGAACTCCAACAGCAAAGGAGAGATCCGGTCTTGTGTGTAGGAGGTACCTAAGACAACCAATGGTTCGTCTATAGTCGGTTGCATCAATCTCTGGTTCTTCTTCCAATTTATTGATCTTTTGACTTGGATGCATTGGTGTATGAGTCAAGTTACACGATTCCATCTTAGCATCAACAAGAATTCCTTGAGCGTATCTTTCTTGCTTTATCTTTATCCCATCCACTCCTTGAATCAATTCTATGCCAAGATAATACGTTAACTTCCCTAGATCCGACATCTCGAATTTCTTTGACATATCTTCTTTGAATTTGTTGATGACCTTAAGCGTGGTTCCCGTCACAAACAAATCATCCACGTAGATAGCCACAATCAAGACGTCCTTCTTGTCGTTCTTCCGATATACCGTCGGTTCCTTGATACACTTGTTGAAGCCCATCTCTCTTAAGACTTGGTCGAGTTTTACATTTCATGCTCTAGGAGCTTGTCGTAAGCCGTATAGAGCCTTGTAAAGTCGATACACTCGATCTTCCTCACCTTTCTTCACAAAGCCTTATGGTTGAATTACGTAGACTAGCTCCTTCAAGTCTCCGTTTAAGAATGCGGTTTTCACATCTAGGTGGTGAATCTCCCAACCATTTGTTGCTGCTAAGGCTATGAGAAGGCGTATAGTGTTAAGACGTGCCACCGGAGCAAACACTTCGTCAAAATATATGCCTTGCTGTTGTACATAACCTTTAGCTACAAGTCTTGCCTTGTATTTATTCACTGAGCCATCCGCTTTCTTCTTGATCTTGTAAATCCACTTAAGACCAATAGGTTTAACATCAACCGGTTTATCAACGAGTTCCCATGTCTTGTTCTTGAGAATTGAATCCAACTCGGCTTGCATTGCATCAATCCATTCCTTTTGATGTTCAGCTTCAAAGTAACACATAATCATCAAGGTAGCTAGGTTGTCTTACCGTACAGCCATATCTAGTCACTACTTGTTGATTCTCTGCTCCTTGATTCACGGCATTGTCAACATGTTCCTCTTCTTCTACCTCTTCTTCCTCGTCTTGGTCTATAGGATCTTGATCCGGATTATGGTTGTCATTGGCTTGATCATCCCCATATCCATCTCCATTATCTATAATACCTCCACGAGTGAGTTTAAACATACCCGGTTCACCATTGGATTCACTTGTTGTAGACGACCAGTTCCAAGCTTTCTTTTCATCGAAGACCACGTCTCTACTAACAATTACTTTCCTTGAAACCGGATCATAGAGTCTATAGGCTATAGAACCCGGCTCGGTTCCCAGATTGACCACGCTCCTTGACCTTTCATCTAGCTTCTTAAGATGTGGTCCATTGATTTTAGCATAGGCCATACAACCAAAGACTCTCAAATGTTCTATGTTCGGTTTCTTGAACGTGAAGCACTCATAAGGCGTTTGACCCTTCAAAGCCTTAGTAGGAACTCGATTAATGAGGTAGGTTGAATTACGAGCAGCTTCTCCCCATAGGTGATTCGGAATCCTCATTGCCTTAAGTAAGCTTCTTGTCATCTCCATTAAAGTCCGGTTTCTTCTCTCAACTACACCATTTTGTTGTGGTGTGTAAGGGGCAGTAATTAAGGTGTCTTGCTATTCCTTTTTCTTCACAAAAGGAAGTGAATTGAGCTGAGGTAAACTCTCATCCTCTATCGGTACGAAAAGTTTTTATGGTTAACCCGGTTTGTTTCTCCACAACTTCTTTAAACTTTTTAAACCGATCGAACGCCTCACTCTTTTCTTTTAGTAACATGGTCCACATGTACCTAGAAAAATCATCAATTAAGACGAATACATACCGGTTGTTAGCTGGTGTTGGTGGTGAGATTGGCCCGCATAAGTCTCCATGAATCAGTTCCAACGCTTGTGCCGCACGGAAGCTAGTTTTGATCAGGAATGTGTTTCTTGTTTGTTTTCCGGCTAAGCACACGTCACACACACTCTTTTCATGTAGAGTTCATGGCATTCCTTCAACCATCTCCTTTTGTACCATATTATTCATGACACCAAAGCTCACATGTCCAAGTCTTGAGTGCCACTTCCATGTTTCTTCATCATCACGTAAAAGTAGACACATTGGACTGCTTATTTTCATCGGGGTTTTGTAGAGTCGGTTTGGAGATCTTGTGACTCTTACAAGCAACTTTCCATATGGATCACTTAGTGTTAACACGTCTTCTTTCATGTATACTTCGCACCCACCTTCAGTTGCTTGTCCAAGACTCAATATGTTGTGTTTTAGCTCGGGTATGAGATAGATGTCTTTGAGAGCTCTTTTCTCTCTGGTCTTGCACACAAAGACAATCGTTCCTTTGCCAATGATATTCACACACCAGCCATCGCCAAACCTCACTTTACCTTTTACGTTCTCATCTAGGTTTGAGAAGAAATCTTTGTTCCCCGACATGTGGTTACTTGCACCGGTATCTAAATACCAAATACTCGAGTTGTTATTAGTATCATAGTTCTTAGGGATTACCTTATCTTCGTTAAGGAATACGACTTCATGGACATATAAGGCATCGGCTTCTTGTGTCTCGTTTAGGTTAGCTTCTTGGTTTTGCATTGGTTTCTCGGGACATGTCAATGCAAAGTGGCCCACTTTGTCACATCTCCAACATATTACCTTGGAACGATCTCTTTTCGGTTTTGGTTTTTCTTCCGCAGTTGCTGCTCCTTGATCTTGGCTATTGAATCTCCCTCGACCCCTACCTCTACCAAAGCTTCCTCTGCCCCTACCAAAACCTCTTCCTCCTCTATTTCCGTAACCTCCTCTGTTTCCGCCGTAGCCTCCGTGGCTATTGTTTGAAAACAAGAGTTTACTTTGATCCTCTCCTTGATTCTCATCCCTTATACGCTCGCCGTTGTTTCTAAGTCTGGGACTTGCTCAAGAGAAGCTACAATTTGTATGAATTTGCCTCTAGGGAGACTTGTCAAGAACTTCTTCACCAACTTCGATTCGTCAATTGTATTTCCGAGAGAAGCAGATTGGGAAGCTATTCCCGAAATCTTTCCCGCAAAGTCATCAACCGAGTTGGTGTCTTCCATCTTCAACCGATCGAGTTGTGTCATTAGGGTTTGGAGTCTCGCCACTTTAACACGGTCTGCTCCCTGGTGACGAGATTTGATCGCAGCCCACACCAACTTCGCCGTGCCTTGTTCTCCAATTTGTAGGATGAGGCTCTCGGGGATTGATTGAAATAGAAGAGCTGTCGCTACATCGTTCTTCTTTCTGTCTATTGATCCTGGTTCTATGGTGTCCCATACTTCGCTTACTCTTAACAAGATCTTCATCCTCATCGCCCAAACTGTATAGTTTGTTGTTGTTAACATAGGGCATTGGATCGTTGGGGCTCCAATGTCTTTTGTTCGTGTTGAAGGTTCCACGTCTCCCATCTTGGATACGTGAAGCTTTGATCGTCGTCTTCGATCGGTACTTCTCCTTCAAGCTCTGATACCAATATAAAGTTATGGTTGCTAGAACTTAGAATATAAAGAACAATACTTCTTTATTAGATTTAGAAACTCTCACAAAACTAAATCTCTTCTCTCTAAGTCTCATGGAACATCCTTCCATGGAGCCTTGTATTATATAGAACTTGGACATCTCCCAAATCTATTAGGATTAGGTCAAACACAAACTCTATCTAGATACTTTATCATTATCTAAAACATATTTGTTAATATCCTTACTTATCTCTAGAAGCTTCTTCTTCTGCGTTTCCTTGAACTTCACAAAACTAAATCTCTTCTCTCTAAGTCTCATGGAACATCCTTCCATGGAGCCTTGTATTATATAGAACTTGGACATCTCCCAAGTCTATTAGGATTAGGTCAAACACAAACTCTATCTAGATACTTTATCATTATCTAAAACATATTTGTTAATATCCTTACTTATCTCTAGAAGATTCTTCTTCTGATAACTTCTTCTTTTAAGTCTTGAATTATCCAACAATATCACCATAAACTTTTTGATCAATATTTTCTTGACTAATCGGATTGAGACGATGACTTTTCTAAAAATCTTTGACAACTATCAATCAGGTTAAGACGAAGAATCTTCCCATGATAAAAAGTAATACGACTTTTCCTCCTCTCTCTACACCAAAAGTTGTTTTAGTTTCTCCAAGTTTCTTAAGATAAAATTTTGGATTTGTTAATCTTCGGTTTTTTTTTTGGAAATAACAGAATATCTATCTTCCAAAGAACCAATTTTTTCTATATTGTTAGGTAATATTTTGAGTTTTCCACATTCTTTATTGACTACTCATCAATGAAAGGAAAGGATCAACACTAATATCTACGAAGGCAATCCTTATTGTCAAATAATTCTGAAATTAAAACTCATAAAATTTTAGGATATAAAAGAAAATCAAATTTGATCCAACATGAATTGAGGAGAAAGAAAAACGAGTAACAATCTTAAATGGAAATAGCAAAAACGAACTTAATTTTATCACCCATCGAAGTGTTTTATGAGTCTCCCATTTGAGTCTCCCATCGACCATGGATTCTAAATCGGGTTAAACCTATGATGACGATTGATGACTGACGAGTTTTACGTTGACGTAAACAAATTATGACTTCAGTTGTGTTAAGTTCTAAATTTCTTATAAACCAAAGCCAAACAAAAATACAGAGCCATGTTGGTCAAGTTCCTCATTATCGTCTTCTTGAGCTTCCTCTCCCAATCCCAAAAATCCTCTTCCCAAGTTCTTGAATTAACTTACAATGGCTTCCGTCCTCCATCCACTAACATATCAATCCAAGGAATTGCCACCATCACACCTAACGGTCTCTTGAAGCTAACCAACACAAGCATGCAGAGAACCGGTCACGCCTTCTACACCAAACCAATCCGGTTCAAAGATTCTCCAAACGGTAATGTCTCGTCATTCTCCACAACTTTTGTCTTTGATATCCACTCTGAGATCCCCACACTTAGCAGCGGCGGCATGGCCTTTGTCATCGCTCCTAACCCTGGCCTCCCATTCGGCAGTACTTTCCAATACCTCGGCCTCTTAAACGTCACAAACAACGGTAACGATACGAATCATGTATTCGCTGTCGAACTTGACACAATTATGAGTATCGAGCTCAATGATATGAACAATAACCATGTCGGAATCGATATCAACAGCTTGATATCGGTAAAAAGTTCCTCGGCTGGGTACTGGGACGAGAACAATCGGTTTAATAATCTGACTTTGATTAGTCGTAAGCGTATGCAGGTTTGGATCGACTACGATGGTCGTACCCATCGAATCGATGTAACAATGGCTCCCTTTAGCGAGAATAAACCTAGAAAACTGCTTGTTTCTATTGTCAGAGATCTGTCCTCTGTTCTTTTGCAAGATATGTTCGTAGGTTTCTCGTCTGCGACCGGTTCTATGTTGTCAGAACATTTTGTTCTTGGCTGGAATTTCCGGGTGAACGGGAAAGCTCAGCCACTGGCCTTGGCCTTGTCGAAACTTCCGATATTGCCTGTGTGGGATTCAAAACCCCCGAGGTTCTACAGCTTCATCAAGAACTGGATGCCGTGGATCTCCCTCTTGTTGATTCCCCTCTTGCTTATTATTTTCCTTGTGCGCTTTCTCGTGAGGAGGAAGAGAAAGTTCGCAGAGGAGCTCGAAGATTGGGAAACCGAGTTCGGGAAGAACCGGCTAAGGTTCAAGGACTTGTACTATGCCACAAAAGGGTTCAAGGATAAGAACCTTCTTGGATCAGGCGGGTTCGGGAGGGTTTACAGAGGTTTCATGCTGAAGACTAAGAAGGAGATCGCGGTGAAAAGAGTCTCGAACGAATCCCGACAAGGTTTGAAAGAGTTTGTGGCTGAGATCGTGAGTATTGGACAGATGAGTCATCGGAACTTAGTCCCTCTCGTGGGTTATTGTCGCCGGAGAGATGAGCTTCTTCTGGTGTATGATTACATGCCTAATGGAAGCTTAGACAAGTATTTGTACAACAGTCCGGAGGTAAGACTAAATTGGAAACAGAGGTTTAAAGTCATAAATGGTGTGGCTTCTGCCTTGTTCTACCTTCACGAGGAATGGGAACAAGTGGTGATTCACCGGGACATCAAAGCAAGTAACATCTTGTTAGATGCAGAGTACAATGGAAGACTCGGAGATTTTGGTTTAGCCCGATTGTGCGATCACGGGTCAGATCCTCAAACCACGCGCGTTGTTGGAACTTGGGGATACCTAGACCCTGATCATGTTAGGACAGGACGGGCCACAACCGCTACTGATGTTTTTGCGTTTGGGGTGCTCCTACTAGAAGTGGTGTGCGGTAGACGTCCTATCGAGATTGTAAACGAGAGTGATGACACCGTCTTGCTCGTGGAATTGGTTTTTGGGTTTTGGATAGAGGGAAAACTCTTGGATGCTACGGATCCGAATCTAGGGTTCGAGTATGACCAAAGAGAAGTCGAAATGGTTTTGAAGCTAGGTTTGTTGTGCTCTCACTCCGACCCACCAGCTAGACCAACTATGAGACAAGTGCTACAATATCTAAGGGGAGATGCAATGTTACCAGATTTATCGCTGTTCGACTTCCGTGGGAGTGAAAAAATGTTGGGAATCAGCCACAGATTTAGTGAGTCATGCATGTTTACCAGTAGATCTTCGATTGCTTATTCCATACTTTCTGGCGGGAGGTGATTTTCCAATATCACAATAATGTTTTATGTTTTACATTATGGCCGTGTTCGTTTCCATGACGCAGCGACTCCGACGAGCGACCAAAAAATAAGCACAGTTTTTTCCTGATTTCTTTGTACACTGTCGCTGAATCTGAAAACGAGCGATTCCGATGACTTAATTAAGGAAAGGTGAATGTCGCTGTAATTTATAGCGGCAGTTTTAATGGACTAATAAAAACTAGCGACAGTTCCATATTAATATCGGCGACAGATGAATAACAACGTCGGGAAGGAATTTCTCTCTCCACCGTTTGTATTTTTGGTCGCTAGCTTATGTCGCTGCGTCTAGAAAACGAACAAGGCCTATATTACATATGTAGAAAGAAATTATATGCACGAGATAGGGGACCATGTTGACATATTTCAGTGCTGTATGTGTACGAATAAGTGAAATTCTATGGACTTAGAAGACCAGTTTACTCTTTTTTTTTTTTTTTTTTTTTATCGACAAGGCCCGATCCATAGCCAATCCCTACTACGCGGAGTAACGCGACTTAGTGGAGTCGAACTCCGGTGGGGAAGGCGGAGTCAAGTGGACTTAACCACTTTTAAAAATGCCCCTTTTTCAATACCCCTTTTCAAAAATGCCCCCTTTGAGAGTCCATTTTTAAGTTTGCCCTCTTTTAATTTTTAACTCTGTTCTAAAAAGCGGTCTAGGCGGTCGCCTAGGCCCCGACTAGGCGCTAGGCTCTCATTCGACGCCTAGATAACCGCCTTGACCGCCTAAAATTACATAGATCTTGTTTAATGTATTTTTTCAATTTCAATTAGAGTTTTATTTATATATATATAGTTATAAATATTCATATATTGTTTAATATAAATATAAATAAATATTTTATCTAGTTTTTGTTTATAATTTCATAATTTTTAGTTTTATATTAATATTTTATATAACTTTTATATATAATATCATATTTATAATGTATTATGTTATAAACGTCTAAACCGCCTAAAAAATCGCCTAGGCCCCGATTAGGCGTTCTAGGCGCTAGGCACTGAGTCACCGCCCGCTTAGCGCCTAGCGCTTTCTTGAACATTGATTTTTAATGACCATTTTACCCTTATTTGAAACAAAATTATGTCCACAAAATACAAAATATTTTTTGGCGGGAAAAGTGATCCTGCAATTTTCCCGCCAAAACACTTGTAAAAACCTTTAAAAAACCTTGTAAAATTTTCCCGTAAAAATTTTTCCCGCCAAAAAATTTTCCCGCCAAAAAAAATTTTTTGCGGGAAAAGTGATTCCGCAATTTTTTTTGCGAAATTTTTTTGGCGGAAAAATTTTTGGCGGGAAAAATTTACAAGGTATTTTAAAGGTTTTTTACAAGGTATTTACAAGTGTTTTGTAAGGTTTTACAATGTATTTTAAAAGGTTTTACAAAGTACTTTTAAGGTTTTATAAGGTATTTATAACTTGTAAAACCTTATAAAAAACTTGTAAAACCTTATAACTTGTAAAAACCTTATAAAATAGCTTGTAAAATCTTATAATATCTTATAAATACCTTGTAAATACGTTGTAAAACCTTTTAAAATACATTGTAAAACCTTATAAATACCTTGTAAAAAACCTTTAAAATACCTTGTAAATTTTTGGCGGGAAAAATTTTCCCGCCAAAAATTTAACGCCAAAAAAATTGCGGAATCACTTTTCCCGCAAAAAAAATTTTTTGGCGGGAAAATTTTTTGGCGGGAAAAAATTTTACGGGAAAATTTTACAAGGTATTTTAAAGGTTTTACAAATTTTTACAAGTGTTTTGGCGGGAAAAATTGGGGGATCACTTTTCCCGCCAAAAAATATTTTGTATTTTGTGGACCTAATTTTGTTATATTTCCTTATATATTTATGATATCTTTTATTAAAAGAAGGGTAATTCAGTCATTTTGTACATAAAAGGGGTATTTTTAAAAATGGACATCCAAAAGGGGCATTTTTGAAAAGGGATATTAAAAAAGGAGCATTTTTGTGAGTCTCCCAGACTAAAGGCACATCCCCCGACCAGTTTACTCTTAATGATGTTGCATTTAAAGAAATTTAAAAAGCGTCTGGTTAATAGAAGAATAATTATGTACCAAGTGGCTTTTGGGATAGTAATGTTTTTTAAGACTTTCCAAAATTTGTGATCCATAGAATCTTTAATTCGATATCCATTTGGAAAGGGCTTGGGCTAACTGGGGAGATGTACGAGTCTAGGGGGAGCCAGACCTTGCATAAGTCAATGAAGCTTACCCTTTAGGCCATTATAAAACTCATCTAACTCTGAAGAAAAAGCCGGCCAATCTTCATAATCATCAAGCATCTTCAAAAACTCCACACAATATGTCTCAAAGTTGACATATGTAAATTTCTAAGATTATACAGTATATGTGAAACCGAGTATAACACCATTATTTGCAATTGATGGAAATTAAAAGACATAACTCTTTTTTTTTTCTTTTTTTGTAAAGTAGGAAGTTCAGGGCACAGGCCCATACATCTTTTTAGACCGTACCAGCCTTGTATATTTACATGAACCATCTGCCACTCGATCTTGTGACCTTTTGGAATTTTCCAATATACTTTTTCAGTCGAGTTACCGACCTCTCGTAAAGACTTAGGCTATTTGACTTAGTTATGATTGTCCTTGTGCAAATAGAATGCCGTAGGCCCGTAGCGATAAGGAAACAATTTTTTATTTATTTTTCGAATAGAGTCTTGATAGCACAAATGTGGTCCGAATTAAAACCAAAATAAAAAATAAAAGATGAGAAGTTTTATACCACAAAATGGTTTTGGTCAAAAAAAGAGAGGGAAATATAGGTGCGGTTTGAATACCACAAATGTGGTTCGGAGCACATAATTTTACAACAATCAATGAAAATACCATTCCTTTTGAAGAAACCAAATTGGTCTATAATTTTCTGGCCTCTATTGATGATACTTATGATTTGGGGCAGAACATGTCACTCCGTCAAAACATTATATCTCTGTTTTGTATTTTTTATGTGAACGATTTGACAGTTAGTTTTGAACCTCACATAAGTCACAAACCTAATAAATTTTTGATGCTTGTGATTAATTAAAAAAAAAAATTGATTACTAGAGGTGAATGTAGCAGTCTTAGTAGTCCACTTATTGGGTCTTCTAATGAATGCAAAGTATAACATCATTTCGACTAGCCAAATAGAGTGATTTAATTACAATTGTTTTTTTGTCACCAGATATGCAAACTTAATTTCAGTTACAACATATAATTTCATAGAAACAAATTTCAAACCATATTTACGTAGATTTTGTTGCCGGTTAGGTGATACATTTCAGCAACGAACCATTTAAAAGTTCGATTGCTAGAAATTTTAGCCTAATGATCGCTAAACTAAGTTGTCACTAAAATATATCGGCGAATCTAACAACAATAACATAGACATAATTTAATCACCAAAAGATATATATCGTTCAATTAACGTCCATAACAAACTCGAACAGTAAGTTTTTTTTCTTATAGCATTGTAATTAAAGGCCATAAAAGAGGTGGTGGTAGAAAATGATAGAGGACAAGATAAGTTACAACGGAGACAAACACACGTTGTACCACAACATTACAAATCAAAACATTTATCGCCCGCTACTATGATTCGTCACCTTCTTCGTGAGTCTCTACCATGCCCTCTACTTTAGGTTAAGCTGAAACGACTTTTCCCTTGACCAATAACAAAAACGACTTTTCCACACTCTTGAGTACACCATAAATTGTCTTAGTTTCTTACAAACTCAACTACCTAAATCAAAGCCAACAAAAATAAAAAATCTTCACCATGTTCTTCAAGCTCTTCACCATCTTCTTCTTAAGCTTCTTCTGGCAATCCATAAAGTCCTCTTCCAAAATTCTCGACTTCGCTTATAATGGCTTCCACCCTCCACTGACTAACGTATCCGTCCAAGGAATTGCCACTATCACACCTAATGGTCTCTTGAAGCTAACTAACACAACCATGCAGAGTACCGGTCACGCCTTCTTTACCAAAGCAATCCGGTTCAAAGATTCTCCAAACGGTACCGTCTCGTCTTTTTCCACTACCTTTGTCTTCGCTATTCACACTCAGATCCCCATTGCACACGGCATGGCCTTTGTCGTTGCTCCTAACCCTAGCCTCCCATTCGCCAGCCCCTTACAGTACCTCGGTCTCTTCAATGTAACAAACAACGGTAACGATAGGAACCATGTATTCGCTGTCGAGTTAGACACGATTATGAATATCGAGTTCAACGATACTAACAATAACCATGTTGGAATCGATATCAATAGCTTGAACTCGGTGGAAAGTTCTCCTGCTGGATACTGGGACGAGAAAGACCACTTTAATAATCTGACTTTGATCAGTCATAAACGTATGCAGGTTTGGGTCGATTACGATGGTCATAGCCATCGAATCGATGTGACGATGGCTCCCTTCGGCGAGAATAAACCTAGAAAACCGCTTGTTTCTACCGTCAGAGATCTGTCTTCCGTTCTTTTGCAAGAAATGTTCGTAGGGTTCTCGTCTGCGACCGGTAATATTGTGTCCGAAATTTTTGTTCTTGGGTGGAGTTTCAGGGTGAACGGGGAAGCTCAGCCATTGGCCTTATCGAAACTTCCGAGATTGCCTGTTTGGGATCCAAAACCCACGAGAGTCTACAGATTTTACAAGAACTGGGTGCCGTTGATTTCCCTCTTGTTGATTCCCCTCTTGCTTGTTATCTTCCTCGTGCGCTTCATCCTGAGGAGGAGGAGAAAGTTCGCAGAGGAGCTCGAAGAATGGGAAACAGAGTTCGGGAAGAACCGACTAAGGTTCAAGGAGTTGTATTATGCCACAAAAGGGTTCAAGGATAAGAACCTTCTTGGATCAGGCGGGTTCGGGAGAGTTTACAAAGGTTTCATGCCCAAGATGAAGAAGGAGATTGCCGTGAAAAGAGTCTCGAACGAATCCAGACAGGGGCTAAAAGAGTTTGTGGCTGAGATCGTGAGTATTGGACAGATGAGTCACCGGAACTTAGTCCCTCTCGTGGGTTATTGCCGCCGGAGAGACGAGCTTCTTCTGGTGTACGATTACATGCCCAATGGAAGTTTAGACAAGTATTTGTATAACCGTCCAGAGGTAACCCTCAATTGGAAACAAAGGTTTAAAGTCATTAATGGTGTGGCCTCTGCCTTATTCTACCTCCACGAGGAATGGGAACAAGTGGTGATTCACCGCGATGTCAAAGCCAGCAACGTCTTATTAGACGCGGAGCTCAATGGGAGACTCGGGGATTTCGGTTTAGCTCAGTTGTGTGATCACGGGTCTGATCCTCAAACCACGCACATTGTTGGAACTTGGGGATACGTAGCCCCCGATCACATCAGGACAGGACGGGCCACGACCGGTACTGATGTTTTTGCATTTGGGGTGCTCCTACTAGAAGTGGCATGCGGTAGACGTCCTATCGAGATTGATAACGAGACTGGTGAGAGGGTCGTGCTCGTGGATAGGGTTCTTAGGTTTTGGATGGAGGGAAACATCTTGGACGCTAAGGATCCGAATCTAGGGTATGAGTATGACCAAAAAGAGGTCGAAATGGTTTTGAAGCTAGGTTTGTTGTGCTCTCACCCCGATCCACAAGCTAGACCAAGTATCAGACAGGTGCTGCATTATCTAAGGGGAGAAGCAATGTTACCAAATTTGTCACCGTTGGACTTGCGTGGGAATGGGATGATGTTGGGAATCCATCACGGATCTAGTGAGTCAGGCATGTTTACCAGTGGATCTTCAGTTGCTTATTCTCTACTCTCTGGCGGGAGGTGATTTTCGTATATCATAACGTTTTTAGAATTTAATTATCTGCAAAAGATAGAGTTTGTACGTACTTATTAATTCTTATTGATGTTCCATTAAAGCGTGTGGTTATCGAAGTATAATTATGTATCCACTTATAAATATTTAGAGATATATTTTCTTGGCTGATATATTGTCCTAAATCATATAAGTCACAAAAATGATAGGTATTTTGTTGTTTGTACTTAATTCCACTATATATCTTATATCATGTAATCTCATAAAACAAAACTCAAAACTATTTTTACATATTTGTGTTACTACTGGTTAAGTGATACATTTCGGTGATTTTTAAAAAATACGATTGCTATTTTAGTTGATGTTGGAAGCTTAGAGCAGGATTATCGGTGTATCTTAGCAACATCTTAACACAAATCTTAGCATTAAAAGCAAAAATATTTAATCAAACCAACAAATATTTGCTAAGATATGTATCTTAGTTAAAATGTTTTTCTCAAGTTTAGAAGCGCACACGTGTTACGATTTGAGTGGGGGAAAGAAAAAACAAAACCAAATAGAGTAAAAATTTGTATGTCGTTAGAACTTTTTGCTTCTTAACCAATGGAGTAAAAATTTGTTAAGATATTGTATAATTTTTCTTAATTTACAAATAGTGAAATTTTAATTTAAAATAATGTTAAGATCCAAACCATTGGAGATGGTCTTTAAGAGAGAGTTTTAAGAATCCATAAGAGCCGATGACATGTCATTTTCTGGTTGGTGGAAGGATTAGCGAAAAAACTGCCTATGTTTCTCTCTCGTCATCCGTCTCTCTCTCTTTCTCGTTTTCTCCGACTGCTATTTCTATTTGTCTCAAATCGGAAGCAATGCATACTCGTGAATGTTTCTGATTAAGTTTCTCTCGAATATTGAAATGAAAGTATGCAATTGTGTGTATCAGACTATCAGTAACGAACATATCGATAGATGTTTTTCATGGTAAAATTCTTGTGTTGGATTCTTGATTCTGATTAGCTATATTGCCAAACTTGATTGGATTATTTTGTTGATTTATTGGCATTTGGAGCAATTAGAGGAACATATTTTTCTGATTAGGCTTCTTTATATCTATTGGTTCTATAACACTGAAGCTTTTCTGGTTTACTCCAATGCGTAATTTTTGTTTCTTTGAGATGTAGTGCCTCATAGAGTTGAAGTAACTTTAAGGCTTGTAGTGTATCCATAGATCCTTCTGAGATGAATTCTGTTTCCAGCTTCCATGGCTAGAAAAATCTACTTGAGAGCCGGTCTTGGAGTTGGTGCTTTCCCGCATTATTTGCTATGGGATGATGATCTTTAGTCTATTTCATCTGTGGAAAATGAGGTAACAAGTAGATTAAGAGAAACTAAAGTGGCAATTTAGAACACCCGAAATTGGATTGAAGTTATCTCAGAGTTAGTTAACTTCTCCAGCTTTCTTTGACTATTATTCTATGAACTCTCTGCTTTTAAAATGAATGAATCAGTTAACTTTGAGTTAATGTTACCTTTTTGTTACTTATCTATGCTTGATTTATATTTGACGATAAAGAGAGCAATGGTAAGCCTCTGTTTCAAGCTAAAGATGTTCATGAGCTGTTTAGAGAAGAAAAATAAGCTCTGCAATGATAAAGAAGAAACACGAACCGGGCCTTGTGGCCTAATGGTAAAGGGGTCATAGCTGTGACTTCCGCCACCAGGGTTCGAGGCACGGCCACTGGCAAGTTTACATAGGGGAATTCCCAGCCTCGTGGGATTAGTCCTTGGGCCTAGGAAGCCTTTGGGAGACCCGCGGTTATTTAAAAAAAATAAATAAATAAATAAAAAATAAAAGAAACACGACGTAATTTTTCTTTGGTTTTGTCTTCTTCATTTCTTTGGCTACAGATATTGGGTTTTAGACCTGAAAGATGGTCTGGAAACTTGAAAGCGAGATCTTTCCAAGCACAGAAAGATCATCTTCTATTTCCTTTCTCTTTGATGGGAAATTGCTTCCAAAGTTTGGCTACTTGCAGGTTTGTAACTTTCCCGCTCTGTCTTGGTAAATTGGCTATAACTTTCAAACCGTAAACCTAAACCGTGATCCGCTCTTTCCTGTGGTTTCGTATGACTGTTGTTGATACTCCCACCAAATTTTTTAATTTTCTGTGTTGATTTGCCACTCCGTTTATGCTCTGAATCAAGACAGACGAAGAACAAATTTTTTGGGTTGATTTGCCACTCCTGCACTATTCCTCCCTGTAACCAAATAAGTTTAACATTATACACTCATTTCATTGAAATCAAACAAGATAATCTAAACTAAAACATAAACATAAAAGTTGGTTACCAAGAACTCCACACTATGAACCCCACCATTGGAGGAGGAAAAAAATAAAGACTCCTAATAAGGTTCTTAGCTTGTAATTATACAAAATTGATACTAAAAATATTGGTAAGAGCCCATGATTATATATTACACCTACTTGTCATTCAAATATAGAGTTGAATTCAACGACAAATAAAATAGTCGATCATTACCCTTAATTTAATGCCCAAAAGATATCGTTGAATCGCTGTCTCAAAAAAAAAATATATATATATATCGTTGAATCAACCCTAACGAACTCGATTTTACGTCTCTCTTTTTTTAACAGAAAAATATGTCAATAAACTAATAGGATTATATTTTTGCATTAAAAAATTAGAAACATAACTATAAGCGATAAGAAATGGTGGTAAGAAAACAATAATAATACCAAGCCATTCATTTTTTTTTTCTTTTCAATAAGATCTGTTACAACAAGCCACGACACTAACTCATACAGTTTTAGAAACGAAATCTGGTAGAAAAATAGCTTAGGTTACAAGATTTGTAATAGATAAAAACCGAATCTTTCGCTTCGGTTAACTTACATGATCATCTTGAGGGAGACAACTAACCACACCCACCTTGGTTCCCACGTCCACTCGTGTATATTGCAATACATTTGGTAAATCTGAAAATGGTTTCCACGTCCACGATCTTTGGGCGATGCTTGCCTTAAGAGTAGTGAATTACTTGAAAGAGATCAAAAACATTGATATGAAGGTTCTCGGTTCGTGTCTACTCTGAAAAAGGGATTACTTTCAAAAGAAAGGTACGCAGAAATTAGGAAGTGTTGATCCAAATTTTACAATTTTATCAGGAAAAAATGACAATAATGTAAAGTGTGGTAATAATATTTTATTAGAGTATATATTATACTTGTACATAATTGTATAGTTAGCTTAATTAATACTGACTATATACACTCTTTGTAACAAACTTTTAACACTAATGAGAAATATTCATTCACTTTATCTCTCATCTAATATGGTATCAGAGCTTTCTCTCTCTCCTTCCGCATCATGATTTCTCGTTCGATCTCTCGTCTTTGAGCTCCGATCTTCGTTTTGAGCTTCTTTTTCTTTGATCCGACCTCAGATTGTCTTGGATCGGTCTTTGTTTCGCTCGATTTGAGCTTGATTTGCTTCGTTTTTCATCTTTTTCTCTGTAACAATGGCGGCGGCGAATGCTAATCGCGATTCTTATGATAATCCTTTTTTTCTTACTAATAATGATCATTCTGGCTTGTTGTTAGTCTCCGATCGTCTAACCGGAGCTGGCGATTTCGGATCGTGGCATCAATCTATGACTATGGCGTTAAACGGACGCAATAAACTCTGTTTTGCTGATGGTAGCTTTCCGAATCCCGATGATGGTCACAGAGATGCAGCGACGTGGTCCAGAGTGAACGATGTGGTACGTTCTTGGTTGATGAACTCAGTTTCTAAAACAATCGGTCAAAGTGTGCTCTATGTGAAGACTGCTCATGGAATCTGGCAAAAATTGTTGAAACAATTTAAGCAAAATAATGTTCCCAGATTATATCAAATTGAACAAAAACTTGCTGGTTTGCGTAAGAGATCTTTGGATGTTAATACGTTTTATACAAAATTGATCACAATTTGGGAAGAAGTCAAGAGTGCTCAAGATTTCCCAGTTGTCAATGTGCTGGTTGTGAATGTGATTTGGATAGAAAATGGATGGATCTATTTGAACGCAGTTTTGTGATCAAGTTTCTTTTTGGTCTCAATGATTCTTATGAACACATCAGAGAGTCGATCATCATGCTTGATCCACTACCTGATCTTGAGAAAACTTTCAACATTGTTATTCAACGTGAACATCAACAAAATCTTAAGCAATCTCCTCAGTCGGGTTCTGTGGTTTATCAAATGAGTTCTCAGCCTGTTCAAAATCCTCAGTTTGATTCTGGTTCATCTTATAATCAGGCACCAGACACTTATTCTCCTGATGAAGTTATTAGTGCAGTTTCAGGTGGCTACAAGCCTAGACAACGTCCTTTATGTACTTACTGTGGTTTGCAGGGACATATTGTCACTAAATGCTACAAACTCCATGGATATCCTCCTGGTTACAAGTCTTCTCAATCTTATGGAAATCAGAATTATCAGAATCAGTCGCAATCAGAATTATCAGAATCAGCCTCCTTATGGTAATCACCAACATTCTACTCCAAAACAGTTTCAACCTCGTCCACCTATTGCTCCATCTCCACAGCAACAGTTTGGTTAACAGGTTAACAATAATCCAAGGATGCAGGGTCAGAGAGGACCAAGAGAAAATGTTGTTGGCAGTGTTATTACTAATTCCCCTGCAGTTCAAGACTATTTTCATCAAGTCTCAAGTGCTTTGGCTCAACTATCTTCTGATCAAATTGAGCAATTAGCAACTCAGCTCAACACTAAAGCTAATTGTCAAATGCCAAGTATCAGTGACAATGGTGTCAACTATGCCTATACTTCTGCAGGTAATATCATTTGCACAACACTTCCGGAATCATGCCTTAATTTCACTGCTTGGATTATTGATTCTGGTGCAACAACACATGTGTGTTGCAATCTAATTCTGTTTGATGATATTGCTAGTATATCTGAAACTACTGTGAAACTTCCAAATAGTAATCAGATTGCTATAAATCAATCTGGTACTATCAAATTATCAGATAAACCCATTCTCAAAAATGTGCTTTTTATTCCCTCTTTTCATTTGAATCTTATCAGTGTAAGCTCTCTTCTTCAAGATTATGCATTCTCTGCTAATTTCTTTCCTTCTTTTTGCACAATTCAGAAGTTTACTCAGGGCTTGATGATTGGTAAATGTCACTTACACAATAAACTCTACTTTCTGGATTTAGAGTCATCATCATCACTGTCTACTTCTTCATCATCTCTAGTTTGCAGTCTCAATGTTTCTGAGTCTAGCTCTCTTTGGCATTCAAGAATGGGTCATCCCTCTTTTCTTAAGATTCAAGCTCTTTCTGAAGATCTCTCTATTCCAAAGTCCAAGCTCAAAGACTGGTCCCATTGCAAGACTTGTCATTTAGCTAAACAAAAACGCTTGTCTTTTCCTTCTCTTAATAATCTTTCTAAAAACCCTTTTGATCTTGTTCACATGGATGTATGTGGACCATTTTCTGTTATTTCTCATGAGGGATTCAAATATTTTCTTACTCTTGTTGATGATTGCACAAGAGTGACTTGGATCTATTTCTTAAAAGCTAAAAGTGATGTCTTACAAATTTTTCCCTCTTTTTTAAACACTGTTGAAACTCAATTCTCAAATAAAGTAAAATCAATACGCTCAGATAATGTTCATGAGCTCTCATTCACTTCTCTTCTAGAATCTAAAGGGATTTTTCATTTCTTTTCTTGTGTTGATACACCACAGCAAAATTCAGTGGTAGAAAGAAAGCATCAACATATTCTCAATGTTGCAAGAGCTCTTCTTTTTCAATCTAATGTTCCAGTTCAATATTGGACTGATTGTATTCGTACTTCAGTGTTTCTTATCAATCATACTCCTTATCCTTTGCTTCAAAATAAAACTCCTTTTGAACTTTTATTGCAAAAGAAACCAATATATTCTCATCTCAAAACTTTTGGTTGCTTGTGCTATGCTTCAACTCTTCCTAAGGATAGACACAAGTTTTCCCCAAGAGCTAAGGCTTGTGTTTTCCTTGGTTACCCTTCTGGCTATAAAGTCTTGAATTTAGAAACACATTCTATTTCTATTTCTAGGAATGTTGTTTTTCATGAAGACATTTTTCCCTTTCAATCTTCTGATCTTTCACCAAACACCATGGATCTTTTTTCATCCCTTATACTTCATCTTCCTATACCAGCTACAAATACTTCCCCTACTCTTCCTTTTCCTTCAACCAGTATCCCTTTATCTGATAATGCTAGTTCCACAGTAGATTCAGATAATACTACTAATGTTACTGCAAACAGACCTAGACGCAATATACGTGTGCCATCTTACTTGAATGACTACCAGTGTAATTTGGTTCAAGAACTAGTACCTTCACGTGGTACCACTGCTCACTCACTCTCATATGTGCTTGACTACTCAAAACTGAATGCTCCTTATCAGCAGTATATACTGAATATATCTTCAGAGTCTGAACCAAAATCTTTTCAAGAAGCTATCAAGTCTGAGAAATGGCATGGTCCAATGAATGAAGAATTAGAGACTTGTGTCAAGACTGGTACTTTTTCAGTGGTTTCTCTACCTGCAGGAAAACAACCTATAGGTTGTCGCTGGGTTTACAGAATCAAGCACAATGCAGATGGGACAGTGGATCGATATAGGGCTCGATTAGTGGCTAAGGGGTATACACAACAAGAGGGTGTCGATTATATTGACACATTCTCCCCCGTAGCAAAGTTGGTAACTGTTAAATTGCTATTGGACTTAGCCGCAAAACATGGATGGTCTTTAACTCAATTGGATGTAACAAATGCTTTTTTGCATGAAGATCTTGAAGAAGAGATTTATATGGACTTACCTCCAGGCTACACTCCTCCACCAGGTTAGGTTTTACCTCCTAATGCAGTCTGGCGTCTACATAAGTCTCTATATGGTCTAAAACAAGCATCCAGGCAATGGAACAAGAAATTTTCTGAAGTGTTGTTGCAGGATGGTTTTGTTCAGTCAGAATCAGAACACACATTATTTGTTAAACATCACAACAACACTTTCATTGCCCTTTTGGTCTATGTTGATGATATAATGATTGCTAACAACAGTGATGAAGCAGTAACTGCCTTGAAACACACATTGGCTATTGCATTCAAACTGAAAGATATTGGCCCTGTCAAGTATTTTCTAGGTCTTGAGATTGCACGCAACAAGATGGGTATTTCTGTTTGTCAACGCAAATACACTTTGGATTTATTGGAAAGCATTGGTCTTCTTGGCAGTAAACCAGTTGCAACTCCAATGGATTCAACAATTCAGCTGACAACAGAGAGTGGTGATATTCTTCCTGATCCTACAATATATCGTGCTCTCATTGGCAAACTTCTTTATCTCACTATTACAAGAGCTGATATTACATATGTTGTCCACAAGCTCAGTCAGTTCTTAGCGCAGCCTCGAACTCACCATCTTGATGCTGCTCACAGAATTGTCGGATACTTGAAAGGTAATCCAGGCAGAGGATTGTTCTACTCAGCTAATTTTGAGCTCAGATTACAGGCTTTTTCAGACTCAGATTGGGGAACATGTCAAGAAACCAGACGCTCCACCACAGGTTATTGTGTTTTCCTTGGAGACTCATTAATTTCTTGGAAATCACGAAAACAACAAACGGCATCTCGCAGTAGTGCATAGGCTGAGTACAGGGCATTAGCAGACACCACTTGTGAATTGTTATGGTTGAGTCAGTTGCTGAGAGACTTACATATCAGAGTCACATGTCCTGCAAATCTTTATTGTGATAGCACTGCAGCTATTCATATAGCCTCTAATTCAGTCTTTCACGAAAGGACAAAACACATTGAAATCGATTGTCACATTGTCTGTGATCGATTAAGAGCTGGTTTCTTGAATTTGCTACATGTTACCACTGATAATCAACTTGCAGATTTGTTCACTAAAGCTTTACCTCCCAAGACGTTCAAGATGCTCATGTCAAGATATGTTTTTCAAGTCTCTTTCTTCCCGCTTGAAGACTTCGACTTGAGGGAGAGGTATTAGAGTATATATTATACTTGTATATAATTGTATAGTTAACTTAATTAATACTGACTATATATACTCTTTGTAACAAACTTTCAACACTAATGAAAAATATTCATTCACTTTATCTCTCATCTAATATATTTTCTATTGTTATTTTTAACCGATAAGGTTTCAACTGTTGGAAGAGTTCAACACAAAAGTTTCTTAGAAAAAAAAATCTCTATTTTATTTTACTGAAGTGTGGAAAACAGATTATAAGTTATTCTCGCTCCTATATTATATGAAACAGAGTAGTGACACAATTATTTAGAATTAATGGAAATTAGAAGAAAAGACTTAGGAGGGGTTATTGGTTCATAGATTTATATGGAATTAGAAATCCAAACAAAAATCATTTGTTATTCAATCATTGATTTTAAAATCCTAATTAAATTCATGTGTTATTGGTTCTATGATTTATAAATACTAGTTAAAATCTTATGTTATTCGTTTAGTCATTTGTTTTTGGATTTGAGAATCCAAATTATGTTTTAAATGGAATTGAATGGAATTGAAAGAGAAAAATAGAAGGATTCAAATCCATGGGTAAACACATGTTATTTCAAAATCCATATATCTTGATTTCATAATTAATAGAAATTTTCAAATTCTATATGAATTTACAAATTAACAAACTAATAACACCCCCTTAGTCTCTTTGACTTAGTCATAAAATTTCTGAGGGTGAACAATTTTTTTCAATCTATTTGATACCACGTGCGTGGTTGGAATCAAAACCTAAATAAAAGATAGGGATGCATTTTTGATACGAAACAGTAATTTGAAACATGGTTTTGCTCTTTTATTATAGGAAACAGAGTAGTAACACCATTACTTGCGGTTGCGGTTAATGCAAATTAAAAGAAACACTTATGACTATCGTTTGCTATATTGTCAGCTTCGCTAAATAAGACACACGTTGTAGTTTGTACCACAACATTACCAATCGAAGCCTGTATGGCCCGTTACTATCACCCGTCTCCGTCTTCGTGAGTCTCCACAATGACTCTAATTTGGTTTAACACTACGACTTTTCCTTTGACCAACAAAATACGACTTTTCTACACTCTCTCTACACCATATATTATTAGTCTTACATTCCTAGAAAACTCAAAATATCTAAAGTCTTAAACCACCATAAGCCAACAAGAAAAAAAAAAAAAAAAAAAAAACAGAGCCATGTTCTTCAAGCTCTTTACCATCTTCTTCTTCTTCGTCCTACTCTCTCAACCCTTAAAGTCATCTTCTCAAATTCTCGACTTCACTTACAATAGCTTCCATCGTCCACCAACTAACATATCCATCCAAGGGATTGCCACAGTCACACCAAACGGTATCTTGAAACTAACCGACAAAACCGTGATAAGTACCGGTCACGCTTTCTACACCGAACCAATCCGGTTCAAAGATTCTCCAAACGATACTGTCTCGTCCTTCTCCACAACCTTCGTCATCGGTATCTACTCTGGGATCCCGACGATTAGCGGCCATGGCATGGCCTTTTTCATCGCTCCTAAACCCGTCCTCTCATCCGCCATGGCCAGCCAATACCTCGGTCTCTTTAACAGCACCAACAACGGTAACGATACGAATCATATACTCGCTGTCGAATTTGATACGATCATGAACCCTGAGTTTAATGATACGAACGATAACCATGTGGGAATCAATATAAATAGCTTGACCTCGGTTAGAAGCTCGCCTGCTGGGTATTGGGACGAGAACGGTCGGTTTAATAATCTGACTTTGATAAGTCGTAAACGGATGCAAGTTTGGGTTGATTACGATGATCGTACTAATCAAATCGATGTAATTATGGCTCCGTTTGGTGAGGTTAAACCTAGGAAACCGCTTGTTTCTGTTGTTAGAGATCTATCTTCGGTTTTCTTGCAAGATATGTACTTAGGTTTCTCTTCTGCGACTGGTTATGTTTTGTCGGAACATTTTGTTTTTGGGTGGAGTTTCATGGTGAAGGGGAAGACAGCTCCTCCGTTGACTTTATCGAAAATTCCGAAATTTCCGAGGGTCGGGCCAACGAGATTACAGAGGTTTTATAAGAACCGGATGCCGTTATTTTCCCTTTTGTTGATTCCTCTCTTGTTTGTTGTCTTGCTTATCTTCCTCGTGCGCTTTATCGTGAGGAGGAGGAGAAAGTTTGCGGAGGAGCTTGAAGATTGGGAAACAGAGTTTGGGAAGAACCGGTTAAGGTTTAAGGACTTGTACTATGCCACTAAAGGGTTCAAGGATAAGGACCTTCTTGGATCAGGTGGGTTTGGGAGTGTTTATAGAGGTGTCATGCCGACGACGAAGAAGGAGGTTGCCGTGAAAAGAGTGTCGAATGAATCTCGACAAGGGTTGAAAGAGTTTGTGGCTGAGATTGTGAGTATTGGTAGGATGAGTCATCGGAACTTAGTTCCTCTCTTGGGTTATTGCCGTCGTAGAGACGAGCTTCTTCTGGTGTATGATTACATGCCCAATGGAAGCTTAGACAAGTATTTGTACGATTGTCCCGAGGTAACCCTCGATTGGAAACAGAGGTTTAATGTAATTGTAGGTGTGGCGTCGGGCATGTTCTATCTCCACGAGGAATGGGAACAAGTGGTGATTCACCGCGACATCAAAGCCAGCAACGTCTTGTTAGACGCGGAGTACAATGGGAGACTCGGGGATTTTGGTTTAGCTCGGTTGTGCGATCACGGTTCGGATCCTCAAACAACGCGTGTCGTTGGAACTTGGGGATATCTAGCCCCCGATCATGTCAGAACAGGACGGGCCACAACCGCTACTGATGTTTTTGCGTTTGGGGTGCTCCTACTAGAAGTTGCGTGCGGCAGACGTCCTATCGAGATTGAAATCGAGAGTGATGAGAGCGTCTTGCTCGTGGATTTGGTTTTTGGGTTTTGGATAGAAGGAAACATCTTGGATGCTACGGATCCGAAACTACGATCGGACTATGACCAAAGAGAGGTCGAAATGGTTTTGAAGCTAGGTTTGTTATGCTCTCACTCCGACCCACAAGTTAGACCAACAATGAGACAAGTGCTACAGTATCTAAGGGGAGATGCAATCTTACCAGATTTATCGCCGTTGGACTTCCGTGGGAGTGGGAAAATGTTGGGAATCCACCAAGGATTTAGTGAGTCAAGCACATGTACCAGTGGATCTTCGATTGCTTATTCTATACTCTCTGGAGGGAGGTGATTTTGAATATTAGAACAGTTATATGTCTTACATAGTTTACATTACATATGTAGAAAGAAATTGTTTGCACATGATAAGGACCATGTTGATTGTAACTTTATGGACCGGCTTACGCTTTATGATGTTGTATTTCAAAGTAGAGGTGGTTGATAAGAAATGGTTATAGAAGTATAATTTTGTAAACACAAAGCTTGGAGAGTCCTCTAGATGAATTGAATATAATAAATAAGCTAGAGAGATCTTTGACATTACTTTGTGCAATCGCCCAAGAATACAACATGACTACAAAAACTGTTGATTACTATCTGATGGGTTTGTGAACATGAATCATCTGGTGAACCGGTGGTTATTGGAGTTAACTATAAAGACTACTAGTTGAACCGGAGTTGGTTTGAGAATTACAAAAAAAATTATGATCTACTTGAAACCTCTGCTTCCGTCAGAGGTGTTAGCTTCTTCTTCATTCAAAAAGTCAGCAATATCATTACGGATGCAGAGTCTATGTGCTCCTCCTCTACACTTTCCGGCCACCGCACTCCGTCGTTGTCGAACTCCGAGGTCCGCAGTTCGTTCCTTACGAGCAGAGCGTAGAGAAGAAAACGACCCTTTGATTCAATCAGCTTTAGATTCAGCATCTCTTCGTCTGCGAGAAACCAATCGAACAGGCAAGCAATTTCTCTCATTTTCTACTCAAAGAGTTCATTTTTCAAACAGATTATCCTCAAAACTGCTGGTGTTTGTGATTTGACATTCTCTTAGGCATTTCGTCGAACACATACCAATTGCTTGATCAACTAGTTTCTTGAAGAATTTTGACTAAAAGCTTTCTAATTTTTGCACGCAGAGCCTCTATTCATCGACCCATATGCCGCTTGTTTCTTACCTCCTTACCCAAAGAAGGAATTGGACACCAATGAACAACAACATTACTGTCTTGCAACAAAGTTTATCGATGACAAGTTGTTAGATATAGCCAAACGCATTGATGGGCTAAAGCAGGTTACTTTTACTTACTTCATATTGTCATTCTCGAATATGAGTTTGATTTCAAGCTCTCACTAGAATCACACAATGGAAGTTAAATTGTTTATGTGTAAGTGATATTACATCTTTGCAGGTTGTCTTGTTCACAGATGGCATGGATACTCGACCTTATAGGCTTAATTGGCCAACTTCCACTATGATTTTTGATGTATCACCTGAAAAGGTTTTTGAAATAGCATCTGAAAAGCTTCAAGGTTTGTGCTTTCCTTTGCTTTGAAGCGTCCATTTTGATTTCGAACTTCATTTCCAGGAACTTGATGATCCCTAGTTTTGTTTGGGATTTGTTAAAACGTTCCATGGTTTGATATTGTTTCCTTTAACTGATCCAGGCGTGGGAGCTAGGATCCCTAAAAGTTGCTTATTCTTTCACATTCCCGTGGAATCCGGGAACATAGAGCAACGTTTACGCTCCAAAGGGTTTAGTGGGAATCGACCAAGTATATGGGCAATGCAGGTGTTGTGTTTTTCATCATATCTCCCTTCTTCCAGGCAATTTACATGAATGTTATATGTTGACATGATTCATCCTATTCATAACAGGGTTTACCTTACGAGTCACAATCAGGTTTTGAAGCTATTCTATCAGCCATTAGTAGTTTGGCCATGAATGAATGCTATCTCATAGGAGAATTGCCTACAAATATAACACTCCAGGTCACTTTGATCTCTTAACTATCTGTGGACTTCTACCTTATACTAAACTATCCATCCTTTGATTTATAATCTTTACGCGGTGTTGAATGCAGTCAGATTTGTCAAATTGGATGGAGAAACTGTTCATGAGCAATGGTTTTCGGGTGAAAGTAGTTAGCTATGAAGAGATTGCTGCGAGTTTAGGTGTTGCATTACCTTCACCAGTAAACCATGACACGGTTCTGTTTATCGCACAACAGCTCAAGTTTTCAGATGATCAGGTAATGAATGTCCTATGTCTCTATTAAGTGGCGAGGCCTCCATTATTATTACTTAATCATCTCAGTTAATTGTAAAAATCTTGCAGATGGAGAAATGGAGACAAGAATTTCAAAGAGTGGAAGAAGACGGAGATGAACAAGGATTTGAAGAGCTCTGAAAGAAACAAACAATATGTCTCTTAATAAATAAGACAAATTACAAAGCAAAACTTTTTCTTTTCGGATCAAAATTTGTGTCTAAACAAGTTTGAGAAAACAAAAATCTTGGGAGCTAAGCTTTAGTCTTTAGCTTGGACTTAATTTTGCTTTGACCTTTACTGGTTTTACTACCCTTTTTGGGTCTTTGTTTTTGATGGCTTCGAGGGTTTTCTTCATCAACTTTCTCATTTGGATTCACTTCCTCAAATTTGACCGGTTTAATTATCACACCAGCTTTCTTCACAACCTGCATACAAAGGTAAACGGCACGAGGTCAAAAGAAATGCAACATTTTAAGACATGGGTGCTACTGAGTTTAACAAAATAATAAAAACGAACCTCGGGTCGGTTTAGAGCTCCAACAATAGTCGCAGGATTAAACTCGGGTCCTATAGGCATTCGCATGCTATGCTCGAAAACTTCCTTAGATGTATATGGGAAAGGTAGAGTCGTCGTATGAAGTTTGTCAGCCTGTCAAAAAAAGATAATGTAAGCATGAAGGGATGATTACAAATTGAGGGATTGGGATATCAAGCGAGACATTGACCTTTTTATCGGCTTTTTCTGATATGATAACATTTCTGAGACGATAGTCTTTCCTTGTTTTGAGATCTAGTTTTCTCTTTTTCTTTGCATCTTCATGTTCTCTAACCATCCATGAAGGTAAACCTCTCTTTCTTTGGATATTGGTCCATTGTCCCCAACCAGGAACTAGAACTGGTTTTTCCGGTTCAGGAACTTCCTGATTTAGAACCTCTTGTTTATCCTTCTCAAATTCATCAACAACGTCATCACCAGCAAAAGCACGTTGTATAAGCTCTGCTTGAGAAGGAATTTCATAGGTTTCCTTTGAAGCAGATGTCAAAATCCCATCAACCATTTGCTCTGCTTCACTCTCGGAATCTTCACTTTCTTCATCTCTTGATTCCTTCAATAATTGTAAAGAAAGAAAAAAAAAACACAGAAGTGAGGAGAAGAAAAATAGAAAAGGTAGGTTAAGTTTTAGGAAACCAAACCTTTTTATCTTGGCCCTTTGAAACTGGTTTATGTGTCTTTGGAGGTTTTTTGGATTCTGCATTTTGGCAGCCTTTCATCTACACAACATAGAAAAACAAGTTAATCAAAGATAACATAAACGGAAACGATGCCTGATTTGAATATTGTCAAAGCGAACCTTCTTCCAAGAGCCTGACGCAAATAAGGCAACATCAAATGTTGTCTTAGAAACTGGATTTTCAACATCATCATCGAGCTTCTACAAACAAAAAAAATTGTTATGAGGGAGTTGAACAGGAGCAAAGAGAGAACCATTGTGACTAACTGAATGGGAAAGCCCATGGTACCTCAGCCTCTGTTATGGCTCCAGTGTTTCTAGCAGGTGAAGCAGTATCTCCAATACCCCCAAGGTCATTATTTTCTATGCCTTCCATATCATTGTCACTATCACTGTTGTCATAAAAGTTGTCCGAGTCCTTTTTAGACTCTTTTGGAGCTTCGACTTTAGAGGTGGCACCAAATACTCTTCTACCACTAACATCTGCGGATTTTCTAGGATTTTCTGCTCCACCAGAATTCTCCAACTCTTCATACTCCTCAAATGCACGTTTAGCTTCTTCATTAACTTCCTCGTTTTTCTTTTTCATAGCACGAGCCTAATCAAATAAAAAACATTAGACTGAGTCTAACGAATGAAGGAAAACCAGAATAAAATTATCAAAAATGTTTTGAGAAAGTAAAGCAAGAATTACCATGAAAGGTAATGAAAGAAGACCAGAATTGGGTACTTCATCATCTTCCACAGTTTTCAGTGTCTTCTCCCTCGCTTTTGCTATCAATTTAGAAGGAGTATCCAGATCTGAACCACAACTCAACTCTTCCTCATCGTCGCTCTCATCACTGCTACTTCCATCGTTCGTGGAGTTCATCTTTCGTGACAAAGTGGCATTAATCTGAAGTTGTTCAGATATAGCTGCCCGAGTTCCATCATATCTCTCATTCAGTCCACGGCTTAACATGCGTTTGGCCCATTTTCCTGTGTTTTTGTGCTTCAACGTCATCCGTTCCTTCATGAGCACAAACAAGACTATTTATTACTTGACAGTGCTTGATGAGAAATTTTGTGCAGGTAGAAGAAATTTGAGACTCACCTCTACTCGTCTAGTCTCCTGCTTAATAGCCTCTTCTTTAGCCATTTCTAGGTCCATTAATGCTCCCATCGCCGACTTCTTCAGGTCTTTGCCTTTAAGGCGATGATAAGTTTTAGACTTAATCTTCTTGATTCGTTTACTTTTTAGTTCATGGCGGAAGAGCAGGCTCCGCATCTTGGCAATGTGGTCACGGTACTTGATGTGGTCTTCCATTGACACCTGCCAGATCAAAAGTTAATCCAAAAGGTTTCATCAGATATTCATATAAACTATCTTCAACGCAGCCACATGCCAGATTATATTATAAGTCAAATAAGCTGTGTGCAGGAAAAAACTAGATCACAGAACTTGCCTCGTTCAATTCAAGAAGCTTAGCGCCATCATCTTTGTGAGCCTCCCCAAGCTCGTTATCATTGAGTACAGAAGCCATTTTCTTCTCAAATTCAGTCCTGGGTTGAAACTCTGATGCTATTGCGCCAACTGTAGAGTACCCAACACTGACAGTTTGGTTGAAGTAAACAGTTGGTGCCTCCCGATTCCTCTTGACCAGATGCACCCACTTATTAAACTCTTTCTCAACTAGTCCTTTCACAGCTTTCCGTTCCAGTCTTTCTCGTTCTGGCTTTGGCAGAGGAGCATGAACAACAGACTGAGTATCTTTCTGCATCCGGTTGATCCTCTTCTTAAGATCATTAAACCCAGGTTTTCCTTCAAGAGGCGCCAAAAGGTCCTCAACTGAAATGAGGCCTTTACCCTCCAGAACATCACGGGTAGGATTGAATTCAGACTCTGGATACGCTTCAGTAAAGAGTACAGGTCTTCTCTTACTCTCTCCTGTAAACAAAAAAAAAAAACATAACAGCTACAAAAAATGCAATGTACAGAAGCTAAAAGCAAAACTCAGAGAAAAAAAAAGTCTAAAGTCTTTACTATCAGTACCTTGAAAGGCTGCACTTGGCATTCCAGTGAGGTCTTGCAACATACGAGTGTGTCTATCATCATCACCTGCACCATCCTCATTGTCGCTGTTACCACCATCGTCATCATCATCTGACTCTCATTACCAATCAATCAATTAAAAACTCTCTCAATTTTTGATTCACCAATTTGTTATAGCGTAAGTCCAATACGCAAAAACCCTAATTGAGCTAAAACCAAAATATGTCTTTTATCACTAAAGTTCAAAACTTGCAATCCATACAGTGGCGGCGGCGATGAGAAAAAAAAGAATAAAACCTCGAAGTCCTCGGGAAGCTCGTATTCGTAGTTATCGACACGGTCATAGCGATTGTTTTTCTTGGACTCTTCCTCAGGCTCAGCTTCTTCGTACTCATACATATCGACGTTCTCATCATCGGAATGGATCTCATCGTCTTCTTCGTCGGAGTTCAAAGGACGTTTCTCATTGGCAATAGTCTTGAGAATCGAATTAGGTAAATGAGGACCTTTCCTCTTCTTGTTCTTAGCTAGGGTTTTCGAACTAGATCTCCTCTTTTCTCCCATGGCTGCCTCTGCCTTGTTTTTTTTTTGACAACTTCGGTTGAGATTTTTGTAGGGCTTCTTCTCAATAATATACCAACTAAACCGGATAAAATTCGGCATGGTTTGCGGTTATGATTTAACCGTCATTTTCTTTTTTTTTTTTTTGTCAAAACCAAGAAATTAGGTGCGAAATCACTAAATCAGATTGACAAGTTTGAAAGAAATACAATAAAAAGCTGTTTTTGGATAAATAATTGGGTCAAATCCCAAGCAAAATACAAAAGCTAGTCTATTATGAATTACATAAGTTTTAATGCTTGTAGTTGAATTTGACTTGGATCACATAACGCATCTTGATTTGTTCCACATTGTAGACAATATATTCGTTGTACAACAGCATCCCCTGCAAAAATCAATCAATTCATTATAAATTTGACTTTCAATTTGAGCGAGTTGGATTTTTTAAATGTGTCGAAGCAAAACAAAACCTTGGAGCATGAACGTTCCACTGGTTTGCCAAGTGGAACAACAACACCGTCTTCTAGTGTCTGAGCTTCTGATGGGTTTGGTGCTGTTTTCCCCACACCTTTTGTGCTGCAACCATCAATTTTGCAAATCAAGGTATAGAACAAATATCGTAAATCATAATTCATTGCGGTTTGAGATAAGGAACTTGTGTAAACTGAGATTATCTTCGTACCTTAGCTTTCCCGGGGGTAAATTATCGGCGTTATAATCTGAATACAGAAGTTCATTCATGTCTCCCAAAGCAACCTAGAGAAGTTTTTATCATTACGAAAGATAAGGGTAGTTATGTTGAATGCTATAGAGGTCCTGTTGATAGATAGGAGTTTTGTTGTTTTCCATATGAATAGAGACAAGAAGCGAGTATACCTCGCAGAGGAGCAGAACGCCATCATTAGCACCAGTGTTAGCATAGCAATAGTTCGCGCTCTTGGAGAACATATCAGCAAAGTAAACACCTTTTCCAAACATGTAACCAGTTACAGGTGCTTCAGGAGGAGCTATTCGCAGACCTGTTTGGTGTCTCATAGTAGTTCATTTCACTATGCAATTGAAAATCCCCCAAGAGGAGAAGGAAAAAAGTAAACACTAAGAGGAAAAAGAGAAACATGTTACCTTGAGATAAAATACCAGCCCAATTAGTGAGACGTGACCCGTGCCAGAGTAACATCCTGTTCTTCGAACTTGAAAACTATGAAGAAAAAGTAAAGTCTCAACAATGCCAAAATGAGAAATCAGAATAATGTGTACGAGACGGACAAGCTCGAAATACCATCACATACCTGTTGGAACCGATCAGCTTCAACAGCTCTCGAAGCTCTAAAAAGTTGAGCAATCTCAACCGTGTATCCCAAATGCGTCTTTGCATGAGTGTTCTCCATGTAATTAGCAACCTGATTTTGGTTTTAAGGAGTAGACAGTAAAAGGTTTAAAACACAGATATGTTTGAGATACTCGGGTATCAAAGATTTTGTTCAAAGTTCACAAAAACGAAAATTTACCATAGAGAACTCCTCTGAATCGGCTCCTACTGGCGTCAAACCACAATTAAGTTGCTGGTAGTGATAATATAAAGGATCGTCCTACAGCCATTGCAAAAAGTAATGTCATATCATTGATTTCATGCCTTCAAACCACATAGACTGACTGACTTACCTGCAATCCCGGGTCGACCGACAACAACTTTGTTGCGAGTTCAATTTCACCTAATGCTTCAACCTTACATTAAAAGAAAAAATATATAAAAAACTACACAAAACATGTAGCAACCAACCATTTCTGAAGACCAAAACTAGTCAAGTAGGCAACAGTAGAAAATTTTACCATTTCTATTTTCTGTTTCAATTTTTGAGGAGTGTCTATAACAAACTGACCTGTTACAACTCCGAATTCAGATGTTAGTGAATGTTTGGTTATATATATATCTTAAACTTTTAGCACAGATGTAAAATGCAGATGAACTTACTCATTTTCTTAAAACCAAAATCATGGGGTATCACAGTATAGAACTCTCTGCATCAATGATAAACAAAGTTAGACTATTTCAAATCTAATTTCTTTGTGGGAAACAGTTATATAATCAACTAAACGTGACATGTAGTCTAGTAATTAACCAGATACATACCCACTCAGTTCCTCAAGCCTCGTTCTATCAAACCGGTCAATCACCTCCGATATTCTCTTCAGAACTTCATAACCCTAGACAGATTGAAGAGGAGATATCATCTGAAATCGCACCAAACTATAATTTACGGAAATGAGACCAAACAAACTGTTTACTATCTTTACCTTTGAAATTGTCGACTTGCTTATCTTGCCGAGTGGCAATTTGTTAGCATTATATCCTTCAATTCCAAATTTTATAAATTTGAGAGAGGATGTATGAAAAATCAGCTAGAAGTAAAGAAACCAGGAAAATGACAAACAAATGGATGGGACAAAAGAGAGGAAGTACAAACGCAGGTAATAGGACACCAAAACTAAGAGATAGTGTATCGATATATAAAATCACTGCTAATTCTGCCAATGGATGCTCTCACTGGAATGAAGTGATCAAAGTTAGACTACAAACCTATTTCCATCATATGTTGTGCCATCATGCTGACATTACATATAAGAGAGATGAACTTGGCAACCTGAGTATCAAGTTTTGAATTTTCAGGTTTAACTTCGGAAGATGAACTAGGAATATCATTGACCTGGAAAAAAAAAAATTGAAACTCCGAGTAAGTGCATTTGAACAATGAGAGAAGATGTAACTTCAATTAAGCGGAAAAAAAAAAAAGAGAGTTCAATTTGAAAAACAAAGAAGTAGATATGCACACAAAAACCTCATTCCAGCAGATCCTTTGGATAATACCAGACAACAAATAGTAAGAAGAAATAGGACTTGAGGAGTGAGGATTGCGAAACACTCACCGGTGAATCATTTTCCTCTTTTCCGTAATCCATTTCGAGCCATGTATAGGCCTTGGGATGAGGGATAAACTCCTTTCTGTCAGACCAATAATTCTTTGTCTTGTCACAGAACTTATTGGTAAATATTTCTATTGCACGATCCCATGAGTCATAAGGCCCATCTAGCTTACTTTGTCCTTTCACACCAACTCTTCCCCATCTGGTGTAAACCATGTATGTCTTTTTACTATCCGACTCTGCATAATGCACAATAGATAAGAGAGGCAACAAGGAAATTATTGTTGAAGGTTTTGGAAGACAGACCTAGGACTTGCAGGACAAAGAACTTGTTATTATTATCCCTGACATTTGTCTGATTTAAGATCGCATCATAAACATCATCACCCTACAACATTCAACAAAAAAATCCCAGTTTCTAACCACAATCATGAAACACAATAAGATGCAACACTCAAGATTAGGTTCATAATAATTCTTACCCTTTGTAGAACATGGTACTGGCTCTTTATCTCATCAGGAATCCATTGATCCAATACCGCAGCACCCTTCTTTGTCGCGGTTACAATTTTCTCTTCATTCTTTTCTTCTTCAAAGCCATTTTTGTCATCTTCAGCTCCATCTGTCCCTAAAAACACAATGTCAATAACAACATTAATTCACATCAACATAACAAGAATCAATAGTAGAACAACTCATTACCGGATTTGACTGGTGCACTGGAATCGTTATTAGCATCATTGCAAAGCCTCTCAAGAAGTTCCTTTTTGGTTCCTGTTGTATCTAAGCCTCTCTTACTAGCTTCTTCACGCAACTCCTTCACAATCATCCCACGAAATTCGCCAATTGCAATCAATTTGTTCGATTCTTCAGTAACATCCGAAGAATCTTGGTTTCTTTTCCTCTTGCTCTTTGATTCTTCCTTCTTAGTGTCTTCTGCGATAGCTTCTTCAAGCCTCTCCACCTACACGAAACACCCAAAAACAAACCCGAATATCAACAAAACAGAGAAGAAGACTTCAATGCAATTCAGAGAAAGGGAGATAGAGAAATACCAGAACGGCTTTGACTCCGGTAGTACTGAGTCCACGCTCGGCGAGTTTTGAACGGAGTTCGTCGACTTTGAGCTTGTTCGCCATTTTCGTCTTCTTCTGGAGAATAGTTCGACGGAAAGGGAACGAGACTGAGAAAGAAAGAACGGTTTTATGGTTTTCGTCAGAAGCGAGTTCGCGCGAGCATTTGAAGAGTCTTCTTCTTCTTCTTCATCAATGGCTTCCCTCGAAAGCTTTAAGGCTTTTTTCAAAATTATTTTTTCTAAAATTGAAAAAGTTTTCGTTAATTTTTGCGGATATTACCCATATAACTTTTAAAGCTTGAAAAGACCCCAAAATTTTCGATTAATTCCTAAATTCGCCCCGGACCTTTTTAAATAAATTAATTTAATCCTTTTTATTTCTTAATCCTACCATTAATCATGAAAAAAGGCTTAAAGTTCCATTAACAGGTAAATACTTTTAGAAAAAGAGTTGAATTTTTGTACATTGGATTAAATATATTTTTAGAGACAAAAATATGTTTTAACATGTACTACTAATATATAGTTTAAGAACATTTTCAAATTATCTGAAAATTTTGGTGGTTGTTAAACGAAAGCAAAAACATACAAATAGTTTTTGGCGGTAATGGTCCGCCACTACTAATTTTTCCAAGGACGTGCATACAAATTGTAAATGGATTAGAGGATTAGTGTTGGCACTTAAATGGTTTGTGTTAAGGATGCTCTAATATATGTGATATGTGTGGTGGTTTTTTCTTCTTTTTTTTGGTTAAATAAAAATATGGGATTTGTGATCGACTCTTCTTGTTAAATAGCTTGATTGAGGATTATAAAGAGAAAACTATACAGTTCTGGATTGCATGTAAATTATGTATAGTATGGGATCAACTTCTTTGAAGCTGTAGGGTTAGTATTATTATGAGATCAAATGGTTCATGTATTTATGATAGAATTTACTAACGATAAAACTGAACATTAATGTTCATTAGCCCGTAATCTGCATAATCACAACTTGAAGATGTCAATGAAGAAAAAAAAAAATGTCAATGATATATATAAAGTGCTTTCAA